TGCAACACTAGTGTAGGTAAAGGAATAGCCCGAGAGAAAATTTGAAAAGAATTTGGTATATATCATCGAAAGAAGAGGATACTAAATTATATTGGTGTACAATTAATGAAACACAAGGATGAAATATGTTGTGCAGGCAAAATATAAAAAGCACGGAAATAACATGTGAAATACATATGAGAACCATGGTAGAAACAGAGTCAAACATGGGTTGCTCTTTCCTGAATAAGTTATTATGCATTTGCAAAGTGATAGTAAAGGGTTGTGGACATAGAAGAAATATATTAAGGGTCCTCTGGGTTCCAATAATAAATAATAGCCTCCGGTAGTAGGGGATTTGCTGAGAGGCCAGAGGATAAGGAGTTATGATAAAGAGGGCTTATAAAGTGGATCATGAAAAGCATATCCAACTGTATGTAGGAAAGTAGAAAAATAATCCCTGTCAAGTTGGATGCCAAATAAACAACTATTGTAAGCAATCCCTCACCAACAATCAAGTACAGTGTTGAACGAGTATCTCAATAGCGAACAACACAGATGATAAATACACAAAGCTTATCAAAACAACGGATACGAAAAAAACTTCTCACCATCAAATCTATTTACTCCAAACGTTATAAGAATCAGCTCAATAACATCAAGGGTTACATTATAGATTTCAGTTAGCCGGAATTATGGAAAGGTTATGATACGAGAAACCGAAAAAGTCTTAAAGAGGAAGGAATTTTCTGCTTTCAAATGTCCCCTCATAGTGTGGTATATTAAACCAGAGGTTTTACCTTCACTAGTTTCATTTTCTTCACAGGTCGTTGGTGGAATGGTTTATTCATACAAAAGCTCCCACATTTACAGCCCGAAGAGCAGCTCGACATCAGCATGCTGTAGGAGAAGAAGGGGAAAAGCATCGAGCAAAGATAATCCATCATCTCATGAGCTCCAAAACATCATTGAAAACATATAAAAATCACCAAAAGTATCAATCATTTCAAAGTTATCGATACAGCGTGTTAGAAATATGGATTCCCATAAATGAAGCAAGAAAAAAGAAGGTATAGGCGTATAGCATACATGGTAGAGAGCTTTTTGGTTTTTTGTCATTTGATAGGTGCCTCCAAATTTCAAAATTTACTGGAAACCGTCAAACAAATATATCTGCGGCATCAAAATGGGAAAAAATAGTCTGCTCTGCTCACTTGACTAAGCAGCACATTTTTGCAACAACTTAGTAGTCCTAAATTTCATTACAAAATTTAATATGTTCCATAGTCCTAAATTGCAAAACTAAAAGGCATTTAATTCTGGCAGTCTTTACCCACAGAGGCAATCTCTACCACAAACACCAGATGATCCATCTGAAGAGCTGCAGGAACAAAAGATGCCATCATCCTCCAGACGCCTTTTATTCCTCTTAGAAAGATAGATATCTTGAAGTAGTTAAGAACTACAAAGAGAAAGGGAGGGAATGTAGAGGTGCAAAACTACTGAAAAACATCAACTACGCCACCAAGCATTGCTGTGACTCATAGTTAAAAATGGAGGACAGGAAATTTTGATAGGAAAGAGTTACCAAGGTCAGAAAATTATATAAAAAAATAATGCACACAACAATAAAGCATGAGTAATTTTCATGGATACTTCGCTTTATAAAGGAGTAGGGTGTTGATTTCCATTTATTCAACCACTCAGGAAGTTCAAAGTCAACTGGATTTCCAATCTCCTCCACCAGTTTATTGAATACTTGGCCAATGCCACTGCACTCAGCATTCTAGTCATAGATAAAGTAAAAAATAGATAAGATAATATCACAATGAAAGACAAATGGACACACATACACAAAGGATGAGAGAGCGGAGAGAGAGAAGAGATGGGGGGAAACACATTAGAGCCTATATATGTAAAGAACAACAACTACGTCTCATTTCCCATAAATTTAGGTCAGCTTAGTGAATTATTTTCCATCACTTAATTTGAGCCACCACCATATCTACCAGAAAGTCCAATGAAATATAATCTTCTGCAACCACACTAAGTAATGTTAATTTTAATTGCCTGTACATATACCAACACGTTTTACTGGAATTAAAGACAACGTTGTTACCAATTTTGGTTTATCTAACAAACATACATTGAACAACAAAACCATAGCAAGAAATTAGTCCATGAACAAACCTTCATAGATGTCCACCTCAAATCAGTTAACAAGTATAAATGCTAGGCAATTATTGTCTACAAAAGCAACTAAAAAAGTTAGTGGTGGAGTGGAAAACAAATGAACAAATAGAAGGAAAATAGCAAACTAAGATTGTATTACACATTCATTACAACAGACAAATAGCAGGACCTACTCATTTGTCATCAGCTTCTAGCCGGCGGAAGCAGATCGGCGGCGAGTGTATGGCTGTAAACGGTACTTTCTTTAGAATAATCGGGTCCTTATCCCAACCACCAAAGTGAGTGAGAGCATTTTGGTAATTTAAATTTTAAAAATAAATTTTTTTTTTTTACATAAATTCCTTATTTTATCTTTTTAACAATCATTTTTTATTTTCTCCTCAATTTTCATTCATTCAATATAAATTATAAAATGGATAACTTAGTCTTAAGTAATAAAATATTGGAACTACTCTCATAATTCTAATTTTGAGTATCGCGAACATCCCGTGACCATTTTTTTATTTAAAATTGGGGACGATTTAAAAATTTTAATTTTAAATATACGTGCTATTGAAAATTTAGAATTAGATTTTATTGAAGAATTTGATAATGAATTAATTAATTTTATTGATTAACTATAATGTATTATGTATAAATACCATCAAACTTTATTATTCAATGATAGTCATATTATATGATAGAATGCTATGTTAATTTGATATATTAATGATTACAATATTGCAACAAAAAAATATTGTAATATCCAATTTGATAATTTAATATTTCATTAATTGTACAAATAAATAATTATTTTTAAAATTAAATACTATATATATGAAGAGAAGTGATCTATTATCAATTTATCCACTTGTTTTAGCCCTATTTTTAATTTATGTTAAACATCAATGATATAATACATCAATTCACTTGGTAACTCTGTGGAAACAATATCAAAACACTCATTGCACGAAACGTTGAACTTCCACCAACTCCACAAGACCTTCTGCAGTTGCCTTCTCATATGTATTAAAAAAAAAACCGCACTACGTATACATCATCATTTACATTATCTTGTGCACTCTGCCACGTGACAACACATCATTGGACGGTTAAAAAAAAAAAATTCGCTCCAATCTTTTTTTAATGACACGTCAAATGTAAAAAAAGATGTACACTTAACGTACATGTGGCATTTTTGAAAAATAAATACAATTTTAGATTCTACTTTCATTTTGGATTGTGAATCTTTAATTTTACCAGTTGCAGCTTCTCCATTTTTTCCTCAACTCAATCTAAATCCGAGAAGACGAACTCCAATTGTTAACGTTGTGGTATGGTCTTGGATCCACATTTCCATTCACATTAACAACAACAATATCATTATCTTCAAAATAGCACATAGCTTGGAAGTATGAAGTAATTCACAAATATCTGAAAAGAATTCAGCCCATGTTTGGTTCAATTGAAAAACTTGATCAAAATTTAACATATAATTGTAACAGTACATTTCATAAGACCACAAATTTTCAATTTCGGATTACATCAACTACCAAACATTTTACTTTTACCTAAAAATCGCATATCAGAAGCTACTAAAAACCTGATTTTTATTTAAACGAAACATGATCTTAATATGCAAATCCTCGGGATTGGCTACATTTTTACTAGCCCGACCATATCAACATTGCATCAATGTTCTTGAATCGCGTATCTTTCTTACCAGACACAGAAATAAAACAAGGAGACTTACATTTTTAAGCAGGGATTAGGTTGGAACAAAAAAGAGATCTATCAAGCTAGCTACTTCAATATTCAAAAAATTGATGCTTCCTTCCTTTTGAACTTCACTAGCATAAAATGGATGTCTCCATTTTTCACTCAACTCCAAGAACAGTAACTTAGGGATTTTTCTCTTTGTCGTTTTCATCCCCTTTTTTATTTTCGATGTTCCAAAACAGTGAAAACGCGTTTACTTACCTATTTTCAAAAACGAGACATCCATTTCGAAAACGTCAAAAATTTCTTTTTGGATGTTTTCAGTTAAAACCAAACCAAAATTTTCAAAACGCATTTTGCATGTTTTCAATTAAGCCACCAACAACCACCGTCATCGCCACCTACACCATAAACATCGCCGACGACTTCACTGCCACAACAGCAGAAGAGACCGACGACGCCACCTCCCAAAACCAAGTCGACGATGCTACAGCCACAACGCCACCGACCCAAAACCACCGCCACAACCACAACGCAAACGCGAGACGACCTAAAAACACCGCACACCACCACGACACCGACCCAAAACCATTTTGTACCGGCCACAGCCACAACACCGCCAACCCAAAGACCACCTCACACCACCATCGCAAGACGAGAGAGAGAGAGAGACGATAGAGAGAGAGACGACAGGGAGGGAGAGAGAGAGAGAGAGAGAGAGTTTTAGGTTTTTCATTTTTTAAAATAATTTTTCAAAATAACAAAAATAACACAAAACTCAATCAATTCAAAATGAAAAACTAAAACACGAAGAGAACAACCCCTTAAACTGCCACAAAGCCCACAATTTTAGCAAGGTAGAAGAAGGTAATACTATTCTAAGGCATTTTCATTTATTTTCGATACATGTTTCATAAATAAGAACTGATCCCAAAAGAAAATGCTGGAAAATATATAATCCTGGTGCATTCAATAAGATGTGACAATATGTAACGAGGCATTTTACAGCATACCTCTTCTAAACTATAATTATCATTATTATAAGCCTTGAACAAATGCAATATCACCAGAGGTTTGAACTAATTTTCGGAAAACATCGTCTGCAAAAATGAGATAATCACACGAGCAGATTATCTATGCCTTGCAGCCGATCCAGCTGGACACTTTGGAAAATTCCTCTCAAGCCCTGAGAAATCCAAAAATGACCCCAATTTGAAATATATACAATGAAAGATGTATCCAAGTATGAAGTAGAGTTAATTTATTAAAAATTGGAGTATAATCTTTATCATTTTCCAACTGAAATGCTAATGTTTGTCTAAAAGAAATTTGTGAACAGCCATGTTTATCATTTTCATTATAACATCGTCTCCTGAAAAGGCAGTGATGGGAATTCAGGAATTACAAATATCCTTCATGGTGTTCAGGATTTGAAAAAGTACGATATACAAAAACAAGTTATACAGTGTAATGAAGCACTAAGACAATTCAAATCATGGCTGAAACTATACATATTCAACATATAAATAGGTCTAGCTGAAGTCACGTGATAGACCCAGCCATAAGCTTTTCTGCAAAATCTTAGATAGGAGAGAGAAGAAACCTTTATGCAAGTGGAGAGAGGCAAAATTCTTAATTCAAAAGAAACATGAAATATCAGAAATGTTGGAATAATAAACTGCAAGAAGTCTCGTTGTCCATTCCATACCTAATATAACTAGAAGTATCAAAACTGAAAGAATGAAAATGGCAAGAAAAAAAGTAGAACTGATGTTCAATATGCTAAAGAAATGTTCATTTCAACTCACTTGCTAATGTAAGAGTTGTCAGTGGTATTGACAAGTATCTTATCTCCTGATAAAATATGAGCAGGTGCCTATAAAGAAATACAAAAATTATATGAAGTGAGCACAAATTTTGACTTGAAAAGGCCTTGGAACTTGGTAGGATACAAATTTTGCAAGTATCTCTTCGAGATGAAAAGAGCACAACAATGACGAGGCTGCAGAAAGAGGCAACAAATGAATGTATAACTTCAGAACTCCAATCGTTCAATTGCTGTGTAATCATTCAAGCAACCTTTTCTTGTTTAGATAGTGAACAAGATCATAGCAACAGAAGAGGCTTAACAATGCCAAAACTCTAGAAATCTCTCTCTAAGCTTTCAATAAATAAACCCAAGCCTCCCATTTGTGAGACCAAAAACAAGAAATTTAAAAAAGTAACAAAAGCCAAGTCTCCCATTTTTAAGATAATTTTTATTGTGAAGCTTTCTCTTGTTGGTGAAAGCAACTGACAATTACTTTCACAAATAATTTGTGCAGTTGTCTAGAGCTAGTGAATATGCCATATTCATTCTTCCTACCCAAGGAGTCTAACTGGATTGGCCCTCATACATGCAATAGAAAATAAGTGGTACCATATATATGCAACAAGAACGCTTTCGGCTGCAAAATTTCTGCTGAAAGTTCCCCTCTGACTTCTTACACATTACAAGAAGTAATAAAAAAGACACTGTAAAATTTTAACCTGGGAACTCTTCATGGTCAATTTAACACTCAAGACTATAATGAGTCAGACAATAGTACAGGGAAATTATATGACAAAGTTACATTAGGAAAGTAGATTACCTGGATTGTGAGACCATTGTCCAACAAAACCTTTTTATAACTGTAGAAGTGAAGAACGATAAGAGCAATGCTAAATAATCATCAAAATTTGTGTAGCATGTCTCACAAAAATAAACAATCAAGCGCACAATATTTAGACCATCTGATAATACAAAGTAATGGTAACGTTGAGAGTTTTATGTATTATGTTAACCATATAGAAGTAGAGGATTTCAATCATAAGCACATAGCCCAAAATTAAAAAATAGATAGACTTACTGAGGAGTCGCTCCAATTCCCTTTATAGGCTCAGCTGCTTCCGTTACAGTACAAGTCACTCGTTGTGGAACTGATGCAGACATTGGTCTTTCATCATAGAGCTGCACAGTCACTTTCATATCATCTGTGATTGATCAACAATTAGCACAGCGATTTGTATTATGTGATATATATGTTTGTAAAGTATCTTATAAAATCAAATAATAGATACCTAGTAATCAACTAGGATGCACAAACACCCTCCCAGCACGGTGAGTCGGTGTCCGACATGTCACCGACAAGTGTCAGGAATGTCGGTGGCATGGCGTGTCCAAATTATTTTTTGGTTTTGTAAAGTTGACATGCCACCAAGACGTTGCCGACACGTTGAAATTAACAAAAATAAATTTACTTTATAAGATAAAAATAAAAAAACTAAAAAGTTAATAGTTTAATCCGAGTATCGAGGACGTGTCGCTTTGGCACTCTTTTTTAAAAAATAGTGCGTATCGGCGTGTCCGTTTCATGTTTTGTACAACACTAGTGTCTATGTTAGTGCTTCCTAAGGTAATCAACAATCAGATACTAGAAATGTTTCTAAACATGGAGTATTTAAAACAGACGCTTCCTAATTTGATCATTGATTCTTTGGTACACATTGTGGCTCTTCAAAATCATATTTTAATTTTATTGGCAAGTAACATAATTTTATTCATTATAGAAGCGTAAATACAATTTTTAACAGGATAAGGAATTCTATAATCATCTCACAAAATAAATTCAAATCAAGAATACAATAAATTAGCCCAATTATGGAAAATTAACTAGAAAGGAGTGCCTCAAACTTCTTAGTCGTTAGCATACTAGGCCGCCAGGACTTAACCTAGAAAATCCTTGGTGCTCCAAGAAGACGGCACAAGTGGACTTAGCCGAAGAAAGAAATTGGCGTTCTAAGCTAAGAAGAGAAAACAGGTCCTTAATTTCCTCACCCATGATCTAAAGCCATTAAGCAAGACTTCAGATTGCTTCAGAAACAGTTTCCAGTACTCTCTCTTATGAATTCCCAGTACTGACTGATTTTTCTTTGCAACAATATGGTGGTATCTGGGCTGCTAAATTCTCTAAATATTTCAAACTTGTGTGTGTGTGTGGGAGGGATTCCACAAGAAAGGAGAAGATAAAAACCAAAGTGATTGCTAGGGGTGTGTCATTACCTTGAAGATAGACAACAGATTCACCAAATAAGGGTTTTGGTACATCCAGCTGACTGTATGTTTCAGAGCTGTATTTAAAACACATCAGTGAACAGCATACAGCCCACATGCAGGTGCCAAATCAAATGTAATTAGCACATGCTAAGTTCAAAGTTAATAGTAACACTCACTCCATTAGCACAACATTTCCAGTTTCATCGTCAGTGTAGAGGTACGTTAGAGACTTCTCTTTGACATACACTTCTGCAAAATCCAAATAATATTGTCAAAAGAATAAGTTGAAGTTTCAGAAAGGTCGCATTGGGAGAAGTTCAGTTTTGTGCATATTATTCCTAACTGAGCCAAGTTTGGCTTGTAGAATAATGTGAAAGACCATAGAACATCTGCAATTATGTTCATGATCTATATTTCCCTGCATATTAATTGTAAGCTCTTTCTTGTCTAGTTGGATAATGCTCGCACAGACTCGACCATTTAAGCTAGATACAACAGGTTGTTCAACATGTTGATCACAGTTGTTAACTTTTTGGAAGTGAGACAATGACAACAGTAAACTGCAGAAGATCCTAATCTGAACATTAGCAAATTATTCACATGACTTTTACTTTGAATCTGAATTGACATTATTTCTGACAATTGAGAATCTCCTGAAAACAGCCTCATCAGCGTTATGTTGACAACTGCAATCAATTGGGACAGGGTTGCAAAGAACTACCAGGGTTACGTGTAATGCCAGAAAAGACTAAAAATTCTATTTCATAGCTTATAAGTTACATTGCCATCTATAATTGAACTGAAATTAGGCTTTTGCGTACAAAAAGCTTAACCACAACTGTCTTCTTTTTGAAGTAGATAAAGATATGTCTCTAAGGTCTGCAATAGAATCGCTTAAGTAAAACCCTTTCACGTCAGGAACATCCACTCTCGAACACATTCCCAGTTATTTAGTTCTCTTAGTTGAATTTGAGACGAGGAAAAGATTAAAAAGAGAAAGAAAGCATAACAAAAATCAATATAAATTTTCCTCTTCATTTTATCACTATCGATCTTTCCCTTCCCCTAACTTATGAAGAATATCCAAAGTCCAGTGGTCCGTCTATTCAGATTTCATACTTTAGCTGCTGCAAACAGAAATATAGGAAAAGAAAATTCTTCCATCCTCACATTCATTAAGCAAGAAGTAAAAATAAAAATAGAAAGGAGGCTTGATGGTGAACTACACATGGAAAAAGATGATATTCCATCATCCTTCCAGTTGAGTTAGCTTTACATTCCCTGGATAAGAAGATTTTTCAAGCAATGCACACAAGATATGACCAAACTATACGAGTAGATACAACTTCTTTCATATCGAGAATGACAGGGTGAAATTGCATACTCTCAACTGTTTCGTCGGTTCGCAGCCTTTCATTTAATTTGTTTCCACTATCAATATCCCGGAGCTCCACCTGTAATCATTCTGCCATTTCTTAGTTATACTGGGCATTTAAGATTTCAAGAAGGTTGCATATCTCATTAATAAGATGAACCGTCATAGACTCATAGTCAATACCAAAAACAAATAGGTAAGTTGTGCTTGACAAAATAAACACTGTGTGTTCATCCATAATAGTCACAGGAAGGATGCCATTGAAAACAGAAAGGAAGAAGCTAGAAAAAATCTTACCTGTCTATAAGTTATATAGCATACATTGTAATGTATAAGATGTAAGTGTATAAATGCTTTAGTTAGTAGGACAAGCTAAATTGATCCAATTAGTGCTTGAATACAGCTTTATTTCACCTTACACAACAAATAATTGCAGGGGAATGGCATAAATAATGTTAATGAACTCTATCGTTCGAAGAAGAAAAGAACTAAGAAAACGAAGACAAGAATCGAGAAAAGTAATATTTGATGGTACTTCACATGTCAAGACAAACAGCAAACAACGAACTAACTTTCATCCCAAATAATTAACTAAAAAAGCCAGTACCCAGGCATTCTGGTCTAAGTCCAACCACTAGTTCAAAAATATTTTGACTGTCTGGGTGATCTCTTCACACCTCAGTTCCACTGTTTAATAAACTGATCAGTATAATTGTACTCATTAGCATTAGGAGTTCTCCCACGGCGCGTATGTTTATAAATAGATCGTCTTTGGTTGCACATTCAGACTCAAAAAACACACAAAAATGAAAAATTCTCTTTCAAAATTTCACAATTGATTCTCGGGGCGCAAATTCTCATTGAGTTAGAAAATGAGACGTTGCCTTTTAACTGGTCAGAAAAATATCTGTAAAACAACAATTTTCTAATTTCCAGGAAACAATTATACAATAAACTATGTGCTTTTTTAAACATGCGATCCTATTGATGTTCAAAAAGAAAAAATGGAAAAAAAAATGACAAACATCCCAGAAAGAAAACGCTATACATAAACCATCACTGGACAAAATAAAGTAAAAACTGAAACAATATCATGACAGATAGATTAGCAAGACCTGTATTATTGCCCCTCCTCTACCTTGGGTTGTGTGCTGTGCTTTTACAACCTGGAAAACTTCATATTCCCATATGAGATCATAAATTGTATATAAATTTCTAATCAATAAAACCCTCAACAGAAAGATGAAAAATAGAATGAAATTTATTATTCAATATTCATATTCACATATGAGATCATATCTTGTGTATAAATTTCTAATCAATAAAACCCTCAACAGACAGATGAAAATAAGAATGAAATTTTTTATTCACTGTTGAAAGGTTACCTGATAAATCTTTCCTGCATTGAGTTCCATTGGAACACCAGATGATGATAATCTATTAGTATGTATAACAGTTATATACATATAACCCTTCACACTTAACATGAATATAGAAAAATCTACCTCTCCTTTCAATGACATTTCCCGGTCTCACCTGCACCAAATAAAATAAACATGAAGATGACGGAACTGCAATAGAAAAAGCAGTAGGGATACCAAGGTCCAAGGCCAATGATCCTGTTCTACCATGTGCTGACATAATGTTTTGCCACCTTAGTGCAGATATTTTTTTTACCTTTACCCATCAACAACTTCTGTTTAGTATGAGCCATAAACAAAAATTGCACGTTTCCAAGAACTTAACTGGACACTATAGATCCCAAATAACACTGTAGTTCGTAGAAGGCTATATCACAATTGTCACCATAACAAAGGCATCTGAAAAACAAGAAAATGGACAAAGGAATGGAATGAAGCACCATGCTCCTACACAAAATTTAAATTCTTGTGCAAGCCCAATAAATTTGTCAGTACGGCTTGTTTGGAACACTGCATAAAATTATTTTCATGACAAAGGAAGAAAGAGAAAAAGTATGTTGGAGATTCGAACCCTGACGTGGGTGCTACCTTATATTTCAGCTTAAGTTGTGTTTTCAGAGAGCACGTTTTTACTTATTGAGCTGATTTTTGGATCTGCTGACATCTGTCGCATTGCTGGTCATTGGATGAAACTTGGACTGTGATATAAATACTTGGTTCGACTGTTCATCTGGACACTTTTCATCTCATTCTTCTCGATAGAGGATTAGGGTTTCCAGAGAGTTCGATTCTTAGGGTTTCGTTGATTTGTTCATTGTAAAATCATTTGTTCTCTTTCATTATTTTTTAGTGCTAGCCTTAGAATACTTGATTTCCATGTGTGGAAATCTGCTAGAAGTTGGATTCTGTTTGCTGTGGTTTACGAGTGTTCTGATCTTGTGATTCTTATATGATTCAACCAAGATCTGTTGAATCCTTGAAGAGATAAGTCTCTAACCTGTATTCTTTGTGTTGATTGAACTCCTTGTAACATTCGTTGCCAGTTTGAAGGCAGTATAGTGCTACCGAGCGTTATCCTTTTGTGGATGCTCAACAGGGGATTAGGTGTATACCGAACCTCTGGGGTTTCGGCCGAAAAATCTCTTGTGTTCATTTACTTTCTTGCGGTTTATTGGTTTTCTGTTNATGCGAGCAAAATGACATCTTGAGCATTTTATCTCCACACACCTTTGGATAACTTAACTCTTACCTTATTCTCAAAACGAATAACTTGTTTATTTCTGACTTTCATTTGTAAAAAAGAAAATTATTTATTTTAAAACTACTATTTACTTGCAAATAAATTTTTTTAAGCTTAGCAAAACAATCAGTGTGCACTCACCAGAAAGTTTATAGTTCTTTTCAGATGCGCATAAACATTTACAACACGAGCTCCTAATGTTTTCCAATTATTCTAATCCCATTGATGCACGTTTAATTTGCAATGTCGCAGGCTATGCTAAATTTTAATTTAGCATTTTCATTCCACAATCGTCGACCATAAATATCGAAATAATGATAATAAAACTTACATCAGCGCCGGAGAATCTAGCACTGCGGAGCTGGGTTGCCGACCAAGGTGAAGCGAAAAATTCATAAACCGGCGGCTGGCATATTGATTGGCGGCTGGAAGTGGTGATAGTTCTCTGTGAGAAAAGCGAATTATCATAACCATTTACCGATCGAATCGAAGCGGAGTAGTAGAGAAGAGCTCGAGAGAGTCGTTTATTCAGAGCTTGCATTTTGTGTTACTGTTTTCTTTCTGAGGTAGTGAGCTTTTGTTAGACCCTCGCGGTGAAAGGAGGTCAAGAGAAAAAAATTCCTATATTACATATTTTTAAAAGAATAATAATATCTAGGTATAGTAATATGCTCAATGAAAATTAGAATTAATTAATTTATTTAATTATATTTTAATATCATATAGTATCACTTAAATTGATATTTTAACAGCAGTGACGCTAAATGCCATTTTTTATTTTAAATGTTAGATGTGAAACGAGATAGATGTGATAACGAGTCGAGCTGAGTTGAGTCACTTCAGTTTATAGGCATGCGAGCTTGATTTTTGTGAACAAGTAAGCACGATTTGGTCATTTGGCTTGTGGGTCGGTTGAATCGAGCTGACTTATTTTTTTCAAAGTCGGATATTTTTTTTTTATTTTTTTTTGTATATAAATCCCCACTTATTTAAAAACTAATGAGAAGCACGTGCCCTCGTGTAGTTGACTATATAATAACTTAGATATAAAAAAATATTTATGTCAAACATTAATTACACAAAATTTTCTTATAAATTGCTAAATGTTTCGAGGTAACATTAAAAACTAAAGAAAAAACAAATCACTCTTAAAAAAGAAAAAAAAATTAAAACTTCATCTCTCCGCGCAGCGCATCTCTCCGTGCAGTGCAGAATGGAGAGATATCTCTCATTACTGCATGGAGAGAAATTCTTCGTGCAGAATGGAGAGATTCTCTCCATTTTAGATGAGATGAAGGAGTGTGAAAATAGGGAAATAGTATTGATGGTTGCATGAATAGACGGAGAGACTTTCCATTCGGAACGAAGAGAAACCGCACATTTCTCCGTTCAAAAATTAATTAGATCAACAGCAAGATTAAAAACAACCAACACACAAAAAAAAAGAAATTAATTGAATAAACGTGTTTATCAAGAAGAGTTATGTTACAAGACAATATATTAATAGATGTAAATGCTCACATCAACATAAGGGGTCATACCTGAATGCAATTGCGATGAGCAAATTCCGACACTGGCTTCTGTTCGGACAAAAATATTGGTACAACCCAAACAAGACAATTACAGAATCTGTAGAAACATATACACGGACGTTCATACATAAACATAGGATTAGATGATTGTTTCACAACTCATAAAAAATCAACACAAACAGTCCGACGAAGAGAAGTGAATATATAATGAAAATAGTACATTTTCACACCTAATAAACAGCAACCCAATAATTAACCTCCAATCTATAACTATATAGATACATAGCAAGAGAGAAAAATTAAACCAAAGAGAAAAGTGCGTAAGAAGAATGCAAATGGAAACGGCGGTGGAACTGTTGTGAGCACTTCACTCGAAGAAAGATAAAGGAAAGAAAAGGAGAAGGGAATGAAAAGATGAAGAAAGAGAAAATGAAAATGAAAATGAAAGAAATGGCGAAGAAAGAGAAAGGGAAGAAAAAGAGAAGGGAATGGAAAGATAAAGAAAGAGAAAATGAAATGAAGACGGAAGAAATTGCGAAACTGAAGACGAAAAGATAGATCTCTGACAAATACAGTTTCCTTTCTCATTCAAACATCTAAAGTATAATAAAAAGTCAAACAAATCATAATCATTTCTTAAAAAAAGAAATAATAAAGAATCAAACAACAAAAAAGAAAAATACAACTGGCTCTAGTCTTAGTTAGTAGGAGCAAAATCAAATCATGATCCATGCATGTACTGTTCATTACGAAATGGCTCAGCTAAAACACCACTCGGCTTGACTCAACTGACGATGGCCATTCGGTTTATGAACTAGTAAAAATCAAACTCACTCTTTTATATAGTCGTGAAAAAGAAGAGAGAAAACTCAAGAGGAGTCGGCTCATGATCTTGCTTGACTCATGAATGTAAAACAATTATCGGTTTGGTCCATGACTCATATGAAAATGAGCCCAATTTGTCTATTGATCGAGTTGGGATGAGTCGAGCCCTCAATCGAGGTGCAATATCATCCACATTATTTTTGAATACACCCTCATCAAAAGTATACTCGTGTGAAATTTTGACAATCACATCATCAAGTTTGTTAACTTTAAAAAACTGATGAGTAATTGACGTAATAATAGTTTGATGAGTTTAGCGACAAGTCAACAAATTTATTTTGTTCAATGACAACTAGAAAATCATTGGAGAAAGCATAGTGGTACTTAGGTATTTAACCTACATATCACGTTTCCTACATAAATAAAAGAGTCACTTTCTTTTTTTTTTTACTGTTCATAAGCCGAGCCGAGCCAAATGGCTTGACGGCTCGACTCGGCCAAGTCGTTTTTTATTTTTTTTTTTAATTTTTTTTTGCATTTGATTCAGTATAGTGGTTTGACGGTTCGGCTCGGTTAAGCCTTTTTTTTTATTCAGTATTTTAAGTTACAAATATTCGTTTTAAACGATTTAAAATTTGTTGAAAATGTTGAAGTGCGCCCATGATAAATATATGATCTATAAATTTTAAATATCAAAAATAATTTTACATTAATTGTGAAACGTAAAGTCGTGATTGTTTATGTTTCACAACCTCATTCAAATGTCTTTTTTTCGAACTTTATTTTTCTACAATTTTTCATTTGATTCGATATTTCACGATATGAATATCCATTTGGATCGATTTAATTTTTTTTTAAATTTNCCCATACTCACACCAATTTATCTAAATTTCATTTTTCTTTAATTTTTACGGTTAAAAATGGTAAATTTATGGTATCAAAATGGATATTGAAGGAACTCGGTAATTTTCAGAAGAATCCTTTTACATCATGCAGTGCTGGTAGACAAATATCTTCCATGAAGTGGATTATTTTGGTTTTTTTTAAATGAATTTAATGTACAGTATCCTTAGCACATATTCAAAAGATATTCGAAGGAATTTATGAAGTCATGTGATTGTTTGTTATTCTTTTTGCCTCTATGATAGAAGTTTTCGTTGTGTTGTGGTTTTAATACTGATAGTGATAATTGATTTGTTCTAAATTCTGTATTTTATTATCATTAATTAATTAGTCTTGACTACGTACGTCTTGCATAGGGTCTTGGTAAAGAAATTAAATACTAGTGCAATTGATACATGTAATTGGAGATTCTATGAGCACGAGATGGAGACATAAAGACTTACCTCAATAGGTAGAAAAAGAAGGGCTAGATTGAACTAATCTCTTTAGTAGGGTATCAACACCTAATCATCTATACTCTGTCTTTTTTAAAAAGAACTTAGAGACTTTCAAACGCAAAGTCTAGAAAATAAGTTTTGAATCAAATCTCTTAATATTATTTTTGTCACCTATCATCATTTCAAGTGTTTTAAGTTAATGTAACTAGTGTTTAAGACAAATAATTTTTTTTATATATTTAAGCTATCATATAGGCAACTGTACTATGACACATGCGTCTTACTATTAATTAATAAAAGTCATATTACTATATTTGCAAGCAATTCGAAATTGAGTGACTGATTGTATCAAATTGAAGATAAGTGACTATATTTTTTATAGATCAAGTCAAATAATCTAATTGCATTAAATCGAAAATGAGTGACCCGAATACAACTCTGTTCAAAGTTGGGCAACCCACGATGCATTTAAAATCATGATTAAATGAAACAAAAAACCTATTATTAGGGATGTAAATGGATTTGATTTGCACACATCTCATCCATAAAAATAATTATCCGATCCAATTATCCAACAAATATTCGATTGTTAAATTCACGTCCAATTTACCATGTTATCGGATATTGAATCCAAAATTGAAAAAGGGGAAAAATCACATCTTAGGTGTAAAGCATAGGACAATTCAAAAATCGGACAATTAGTTTAAATTTTAAAATCTTGAGTGATGACTAAATAATTAAAAATATTTTATTAATTAAACATAACAAGTACCGGTTATATAATTAACTGTCACGGTTACATATTTACAGATCACGACTTATTTATTGATCATATATTGTCACATTAATTGATCACAAATTATTTTTCACTCACAAACTAAAATATTATAAGTCACAAAATTTATATATTGGTTATAAATCACAATTTGTATAGGTCACAACGTATTTAACGTTCACAGATTTTCAAAATAGTTGGTCATAAATTATTTTCCAATCACGAATTACAAATAACCACATAGTTGGTCATATACATCAAACACTTCACACCATCCTCACCACCACCCTCAATCACGATGCACTACTAATACTTGATCACAAATCAACCATATTGTTGGTCGCAAACATCTAAATAGTTGGTTACAAACACTCTTCATTTCACTTGCCATCGTCCCCGCCGCCACCGCGACCAACACTAGCACCACAACACCACCATCGTCGTCAAAGACCATCACCGTCAACCACTAACACTATAGTAGCCGTCGTCAATCACTATCTCCACCCTGCCAGCACCACCAACATCACTAGTACCTCACCACCGCAGCCAACATCACAACCACCACCACCCAACTAAAAACGCTACCACAATTTGCAAACCACCACCAACTACCCTCCCAAAACTCTAGACTTTCACCACTGGCACCACCACCTCATCGCCAACACCCAAAACTACAAACAACAGATCGGAGGGCGACTGCAGTGGCGACACCCAAAATCAACCAACTTTTCGTCGACACCTAGAAACACCACGTCATTGTCGCTGCAACGATGACCGTAGCCCTCACAACGCGAGCAATTGGAGCATGGAGTCGCCCCAGACACATCGGAGAAAAGAAACACCACATCTACGTCGCACCGGTGAATGAAGGGGTCAGGGTGACAGATAGGATGGAGGTGGTTGATCGAATGGGTGATTCGATGCTGGAGAATGAAGGGGTGATCGGCAGCTTTGCACATCGTCACAACAGTGGTACTGTTTATTGTCGTTCGTGTGACTTTTCAACAAAGCGTCGCCGTGAAGACAACATACCAATTATAGTCATTGCGTAGATCAATGCCACTGTCGTCTTCGTTGCATAGTGTTGCTGTCTTCTAACGATAGTGATATGTGCAAGGGAGAGGTTAGATAAAGGAGTGAGAGGAGAGAGAAAAAAGAAATAATTCGAGTTTGAGAATGAAATTTTATTTTTAATGTTGTTATTAATATTAAAAAAAAAACAAAATTTCAACCTAATTTTTGAATAAAAAACTTTTGAATCTAATTTTTGAAATTAAAAGTTGAAAAACATGGATGTGTGTAATTTCTACATTAAAGAAATTAGGAAGATAAAAAATTTATATTAGTCAACTTCTAAACCTTATAATTAAAATGTCCAAATAATTTTTTACCCAATACTTGGGCCCACATATTTATCGATTACAAATCCTATAAAGCAACTCCAACTATTGGCTCCTATGATTGTTTAATTTATAAAATAAAGTAATTGTCCTTTTATCTTATTTCTCTCCAAATATTTCAGTTAACAATATTATAATATTATCTAATATCATTTATTATTTTAAAATTATGTGTAAAGTATAATATAAGTTTTAAAATGAAAAAAATTATGTGCAATGAATTATGCAATAATATATAAATATATTAACAAATCGGATAAGATTGTAATCAAATTGGATTGACCTATATCCATATTTTGCTTCATTCAGTTAATGGATTTTCTAATTCGAATATTGATTTGATTATCGGATTGAGACCCTAAATTTATCTCCCATTAATTTCATCGAATTCAGACCAAAATTCAGTCCATGTTTGATTCACATTAAAATTTTCATTCTTCTACTTATTTTCAATCACACATTCTTAAATAAAATAATATTTCCCATCATATCAATAAATTTTCATTCTTTTTCAATATACTATTTCAAAATATATTTTTTCCAAAATAATGTGGTTCAAACACACCCTCAATCTATTGACAACCTTACACATTATATTCATTTCTTGCGGAACCAGCACACGATCTTTTTTCCATACCATGTTCTCCTATTAACGAATCAAAGTCGACTGTCACCGAGTCCATCTACAATGCAGGTGAGACGATCAGTACCCAGTCAACCACGTGATCAAAACAAAAAACAGCATAAAATGAAAATGAAAAAATAAAACCAATTTTTCTTTTATCAGTAAAACCAATTCTTATACGTCGAGGGAAAGTCGCTGAAAAGGAGAGCGTGAGAGAAACAAAAATTTCCCAAATTCTTCACAACGAAAAGAAAATTCAATTTAAAATTATTAGAAGAAATTATTTCATTTCCAAGAGCAGTTGGGAAATTGAAATAAGAACAAAATGATGATGGTTTTGTCAATGGAGTTACCAAGGAGGATATACGCCAGTATATTGATGTGTATAGTGGCGGCATCTGCGACGTCGTTTCAGCCGCCGTCGTCTACATCCATGTGTGTCGGGGAGTCCAAAACGTTTCTCGATGATCTGAAGTCTCAGTGTCCGGTTTCGATTCTCTTCTCTTCTTTCCCTATTCAGGTATTTTTTTTTCATTCTTTATTTTTTTGATTATGTGCTGTGTGCATAATATGATTTAAGAGTTTATAGGGATTTTTATTACATTTGGAGGGAGAAGTTTAATTTGGTTTCAAATTTTTTATATAATTAGTAGCTGATAATTGTTGACCTTTTCATTATTAATTGGTTTTGCAAGGATTGGCCTGGAGGTTTTATATTTTTTCATTGTTCACAAAGTTGGGGTTTTTAACGGAGTCGTATAAATTAAGATTTAACTATTTAAGAATTGTGTATGGCCATAAACGTGTATACTGTGTTTACTTGCGAAATTTATTAAGGAGTTGGAGCTTCCTTTTTTCCTTTAGGCCGGAAATTGAGCATGAATATAACAATTTTCCCAGGAATTAATAAAAAGGTTATTGATCTCTTTTGCAATGTTAGGCACACCTGTTTGTTTATACTCTTGCAAAAAGCAATTTATGATTAAACAGCCAATATCTACTATTTACTTTTTCTCTACATGACAAATTTTTAGCTGCTCTGGTCACTTAAAACTTAGAATCACTTATCTCTACATAATATTGTTTTTGGCTTTAACATGTGGTTGACAATGGAATAAAAAATTGCTTACCGTAATCAATGAAATAAAAATTTGCTTACCATAATCAATGAAATAGTTTCAATTTCATATATTGTGGTTACAGCATGACTTTTCTTTTTTATTCTTTGTCCCCCCTAAGGACCCAATTTTTCCAGCTTCTGAAGTTGGTGCCATAACTTTATGAGTATTGTATCATATGCTTTTGCGTATGAGATCAATTTGCAATTGATGAAAACTATGACATTGGTTATTATTTTTCTTGGGTTGATGTCCTTATGCTTCATAATTATTCACACACTTCCATTGAATAGTTGGAATCCCCCTTGAAAAGAATTCATTTTTTACGTTTTTGTTATTTTCTTGCGAAATATTGCTTTTGTTTTGAAGTACTGGACTTGTCTTTCACCTGATAAGGTTTTAAGATTATTATTTTCGTGCACTTGGCTATATGGCATTCGTGACCCATCCTTATTGCACACCCTGTACGCTAGTCTAGTTCTTGCAGCATTTTAATATCACGGTATGCTGGGTTAGTTAAACTCTATACATCTCGGTCTTCCAGAAGTTGAATTTTAACTTCCTTCTCATTTTCTTTGGCTTTAGGCCTTAAGAAAGGCATAACTGACCCTGGAAACCTACTTCCAATATCATTTGAAAATGGAAAGTGGGTGTGGCTTACGTTGAAGCAGACTTACTCCCATGTATGGAACTCTGCACAACTTCCAAATTTAGGACTCCAAATTTATGTAGATACAAGAAGGAAAACCAATTGTTGTTGCTCTACGTTTTTCTTTGTTATTTGATTTATTTTTTTTCCTTATCTTCCTTTTTCTTGGTGATGGGGTTTCAATAAACCATATTTTCTTTTTTGAAAATTATATTAGTCTTGAAGCAATTTATTAAATTCAAAATGGATTATGACCATTGACCACCAATTATGAACACAAGTATGAATAATGCTTCATGAATAATGATGTTGGTTGACCATTACACTGCTAGCTGCAGCTGGTGTTATTATGGTTATGAGCAATGATAATTGCGTGATCTGTCCTGTGAAATTGTAGTTCCATTCAATGCACCTTCATTCTCTTGTGACATGCTTAATTATGAATCTCAGTTTTTTAATTGTCCCGTCATTTATCGACAATCCATTTGGCATTATAGATGGATGGAGATTCATTTGACAGAGTAATGAGCTCCAATCAGGAGATTGTATATACTTCCATTTTGTTTTATGCTTCTTGGTGTCCTTTTTCGAGCATCTTCCAGTCGAGGTTTGCTGCTCTCAGTTCTATGTACCCGCAGATCAAACATGTAATGATTGAGCAATCTTCAGCCATGCCCAGGTAGGTTTTTTTTTGCTCCCTTTCTCTTTCTCTTTTACATTTATTCACATTTTCGAGTAGATCACAGCTTTTGTTTACCTTTTCACCTCCATAAATCATTCAAATCTGCAGAAAACCATTTACTGAATAGGATACATGATCTCGTGTTCATTCAGTTATGGCTTGATGGACACTTATGGTATACTGGAGACTGACTTAACTCATGAATATTTTTAAGACCATTTTTTTCCAACGAATAATAGGATTTGAGTATTTGATAATGACATCTATAAATTTTTGTTTACACGTTACAGATGTTACTAAGTGGTGATGTCTCCCTTTCTATCCCTTAATTTGTGTCTGTATAGATAGATATGTTGGGTTTTTAACCTACTATCCTCCTTCAAGTATCTTCTCATTGCATGAATTAACTTTCTTGTTTGTGTGTTATATGCAGCGTTTTCTCTCGATATGGAATTCATTCAGTGCCCTCGCTACTGATTGTGAATCAGACAGCACGAATGAAATATCATGGTCTCAAAGATCTTCACTCCCTTGTGAACTTCTATAAAAGAACTACAGGTAGCATCCCTGTTAAGAAGTCTATTTTCTGGTTGCTGTTGAGGTGATGTACAGGAATAAAGTTATTCATTATTTCATAAGTCTCTCATCTTCATTTTTTGTTATATGACACGAGTAGATTTTAGGCTAAATTATGACTGGTATCCCCAACCTTTGACCTTATTTTCACTTTTATCACCAATATTTATTTTTTGACCTCCATGACCTCAAGATGTCATACAATTAGTAGTAATTACCCTCTTGGACGGATTAGGGCCAGAATCATTTTTAATACAGTGTAATAAGACACGATTGACCTTCACTTTAGATAATAAGAAAGTTACAAATCCAAAAAAGCAATAAAAAGTAAAAATAATAATGAATCCAAGATCCAAACGAAGCTTCTTTGCAGAAGTGGCGAGATTTAACGAAGTAGAATCCGATGCTCAACTAAGGCCGGTGACGATTCACGTTCGAAGATCTTGAATTTATGAAATCCTTTTAAAATGACTGATTGGATTTTTGTAACGAGTAGAAAGGTCATTCTTGTCCGCATAGATTATGGGGTGACCGCCTATTTTTTGGGACATTTAATGCGTCAGAGGCTAGGAGAGTAAAAAATGATACCTAGGATGTGATGCTTCGATAAAGGAGATGAAACCACGTATCCCCCCATCCAGTGTTTACTATTTCACATGTACTATAAATATTCCCCATTTGTGTCATTTGGAGGTAATGCAAAAATATTGATTGCAAGCCATATATTCTCTTCCTTTTGGACTAATCTTTGGTTTTTAGTGTTTGAGGTGTGATCTGGATTTTGAGTTTGGCTCTTAGTTGGTCGTTCATTATCTTGTAATTTATCTTATATATTTCGCTGGAACTCGAATATTTTTGTCTCGTATTATAAAACTTCTCCCACGTCCAAACTTTGTTTTATTATCGATTGACAATCATTCCACGCGTGTTGGAATTAGTTTGAGAGAACGCGAGTGGACCCGATATCTGTGTCCACGTCTACGGTGCCAGAAACGAGGTCAATAAATTGGCATCATCTGTGGGAAACGTCACTATAACCATGGACATTCTCGTGGAAAAAGTTTACTGGATCATAGTTGAGTATCCCCCTTGAAAAATGATTTATTTTTGAAAAAGAATAAGGCGAAGCCCCAAAACTAGAAAAAAATTGACAGTTTAGCTAAGGAAAAGTGAGTTCAAATTGTGATATCCTTCAGGAGGGTAAGAGAAAATCTTGGTGAAGAGGCTCCACGAGCAGCGAGTTTGTGCTGACCCCACCACCACCATAGGCGTGGTGGGATGAGGGTAGTTGCTCAACTCACTCGGGAGATAGCAACCATGATTGCTAACATGAGGAATATCACCCACCAAAACATGGACATGCAAGAACTCGTGCATATGCAAGGCCAAGGAGGACCTCTAATCCCTCTTTTTGCACCTCAATGGTACTATTAGCACGAGGATGAAGTCCAAAGTTAGAGAGCCCCTGTTGACATTGAGGATAATTTTCCCTTCGAATACGAGCCAGAACACATGTTGCAAAGGTCCTTTAGTGTGTTTGAAAGAATCAGCCTCACGGGAACCAGGCATAGGCCATCCCAGCTACCTCCCATACCTTGGAATAGGTCGCGACCACCATTTCTTGCGACCTAGCCACCGGAGGAAAGGTAAGGACATGCCCCCAAGTCCTGCTCCGTCTAGAAGTGGCACTATAGGAGGGAGGAGACGGTAAGCGATCAGGCAGGACCATCTCATCTTCCACCCGGATATCAAGCTGATGAAGAGGAAGATTCGGATGAACCCCAAACATCTTGTGAGCTCGATCACGACGACAAAAATTTGTGATATCCCTTCAGGAGGGTAAGAAAAAATCCTAATGAAGAGGCTCCACAAGCAACGGGTTTGCGTAGACCCCACCACCACCATAGGCGTGGTGGGAAGAGAGTAGTTGCTCAACTCACCCGGGAGATAGTAACCATGATTGCCAACATGAGGAATATCACCCACCAAAACATGGATGCAAGGCCAAGGAGGACCTCTAATCCCTCCTTTTGCACCGCAATGATACTATTAGCACGAGAATGAAGTCCAAAGTCAGATAGCCCCTGTTGACATGGAGGATAATTTTCCCTTCGAATACGAGCCAGAACACATGTTGCAAAGGTCCTTTAGTGTGTTTGAAAGAATCAGCCTCACAGGAACCAGGCATAGGCCATCCCAGCCACCTCCCACACCTTGGAATAGGTCGTAACCACCATTTCCTGCGACCCAGCCACCGGAGGAAAGGTTAGGACATGCCCCAAGTGCTGCTCCGTCTAGAAGTAGGCACTACTGGAGGGAGGAGATGGTAAGCGAGGCAGGACCATCTCATCTTCCACCCAAATATCAAGCTGATGAAGAGGAAGATTCGGATGAACCCCAAACATCTTGTGAGCTCGATCACGACGACGAAAATTTGCCTTTTTCACAAGAATTGAGAAATGCTCCTATCCCGAGTCATTATGACATTATGTGCTATCGAAGATACCAAAATATGACGGAAGAGGCAACCCAGCTAAACACTTGAACAATTACAAAACACACATGAGTCGACAGGCTCCACCACCCCAGTCAAATGCAGAGCTTTCCATCTAACTTTAAGTGGGGCAGCTGAAATTTGGTTCAGTGGGATACCCCAAGGGAGTATTAGGAGATGGCCATAGCTTAAAAGTACATTCCTAAAACGATTCGCTGTGAGTACGGAAGGAGAGACTCATATCCAACGTCTCCAAGACGTAAGACAACAATATGGGGACATGCTGAAGAGTTTTTGGTCCCGCTATACTGACCAGATGACATATTGCGTGCAAGCCACCGACCGAGAGGCGTTATACACACTATGAGGTGGGCTAAACATAAATGTCCTCTTTTGGAGGGATGTACAAAATCAGGACTCCGCTAGCTACAGTGTCTTGTTGGAAATGACAAGACGAGATCATCAGCAAGGAGTTGGTTGAATCACTGAAATAGAGCCAGCAGGGTCTTCAACCCTCGTAGAGACAACGTGGAAGAGGACCCACCTCTCACCTAATGGACCATCAATGTTCTCTTCCTTTTGGATTAATCTTTGGTTTTAGCGTTTGAGGTGTGATCTTGATTTTGAGTTTGACTCGTAGTTGGTCATTCATTATCGTGTAATTTATCTCATATATTTCGCCGGAGTTCGAACATTTTTGTTTCGTGTTATAAAGCTTCTCTCACATCCGAATGTTGTTTTATTATCGATTGACAATCATTCCACACGTGTTGGAATTAGCTTGAGAGAACGTGAGTAGGCTCAGTATCTGTTATCCACGTCTACGGTGCGAGAAACAAAGTCAACATAAGCTATTTGTAAAAGGTACATGTCTAACCCTCGTCATATGTTTCTCCCTGTGTGAAAACTTTTCAAATGAAACATTAACAATTTGTTCACTTATATTTTCTTTTGATTTTTGAGCTCAGAGTATGTGTAGTACTACTTTTGAATGCAAGAGATTGTTTTGGCTGAAGTTGTGTTTGCTGTGATAGATTTCTTGTAATCCTACAACAACGGGGAAAGGGTGAAATAATTGTACTTTGCAGAGAGGTTAGGCTAGTGGTGGAGGCTATAGGTGGAGGTGGAGGTGGCTGTGTGCGAGGTTAGGCTGGTGGTGGTGGGTTTGTTGCTAGAGGTTGATGAAGAATTGCTTTGTTATTTATTATTTATTTTTTTTGAAACTAAGTGGCAGTGGTATCTTTTTAAGTCTTAATACTATATTGACATTGATTTGGATGTAATCCATCCAAGAGAGGAGCAATCGTTAATTTAATGAAACATCGAGGTCATAGATGTCAAGAACTAAAGGCTGAGGACATAGGTGCTAATTGAGTCAAAGGTTGGGGACACGGGCATTAGTTTGGTCTAGATTTTAGC